TATCACTGGCCCAAAAGCCTTCCCCCAAGTAGGGTAAGAAGAAAAAAAAAACAACAAAAAATAAAAATCACAATCTGAAGCACGAAGGGAAAGTTACATACAGGAAACTCTGAAAACGATTCATCCACAACACAACTTTCAAAGAAAACTTTTAAAAGGCAAACCAAAAATTTCCCCCATACTTTCCCTTTCCCATCTCTAACCTTAGGTAAGTGCCCATGACACGATGGAGAACACTGAGAAATCTTCCTCTTTCTAGTTACGTTAGATTACACCAGATTTGCAGAGAGAACAACAAAATTTGTGTTAGGCTGAACAGGAGCCAAACAGTCATTCTTTCAGTGATGTAGCATGAACACATCTGTTTCAGCACCAGTCAAGCTCAAGTAGACCAGCATAGAGAGAACAAAATGAGCAACTATTATAGGAATGGTGCTTGGAGGGTATTACTTGAAAAACAAAACCAAACAAAAACCAACCCAAACATTTCTGCAGCCATATTTCATTACACTCATCAGTTAAACATTTATTTAAAAAAAGGATAATTATATCAAGATCTAATTAGCAGAAAGCACATTTTGAGTTTTTGACTTCTCATTGAAGAGCAAAAGAAAAACATAAATAACAATGCTCAAGCATTATGAAAGTATAACGGTAAAACAGGCATCAACCAACTACCTCTACTCTTTATTGTATTATCAGCTTCTAATTGCTTTCTTATTTACCAGCCTGCCTAAAGAGAATTTAACTATTTAAGCTTAACCTCTGTATCTCAAGGCAGCCCTGCAAGACATCTGTTGCTTTAGGAGAAAGACTTAGAACTGCCTGGTCACGATAACTTGAGTTATCCCTTGAGTGCAAAGATGTCCTTTCAGCTGGAGCTGGAACGCAGCAGAATGGTAATCAAGACAGCCTTGTGGTGATCCCACATGTGCACTACATATTCTCAGAACAGATGTCATCATTCCCTAAAAATTCCAACTAGCTCACACAGTAATATCAACTCAAAGATTAAAATGAACTCTTCAAAATCTTGAGTAACACAAATCATGGAGCTACTGTATTTTACAGTAAAATGCAGAGGCTGTACTTTAAGACACTGTAGCAGCAATCTGTCTATACTATCTTAGGACTTCAACTTTCCCATAAAAAGTAATTAACCACCCACCTACATACGCAATAATCCACCTCTTCATATGAATATTATAAGAAACTTATCCCAGTTCATGCAGAAATGTGAAGTTAAAAATGTCTTCTTTGCATGAATGTAACTTAGGCTGAAGAAACCAACATGGAAAGGAGTACAGACTGCAAATTCTCTTAAACTAGACCATGACTACAACATAATAGGTTTGACCTTTCTATTCAGAGTCTGAACAAAAAAATAGCATTACTCTAGCAATACAATGAACCTTAAAAATTGTGTTTTCTGATGGACACTAGATAACACTCATGCTTCAAAAATAAATATTACTAAAATATTGATCTTGCTGGTCCTTGGTAACAAATGTATAAGATGCCTATGCCTGGCTATGAAGATGACAGGGTCTGTTTTTCTTGGTCTGGTGTGACTGGATGATAAAAACCCCCAGTTTTCTCTCTTAGGAGGAAAAAAACCTTGACAACTTCCCAAACTTTCAGTAGTTTAAACAATGTAGCCTGAAAACTTTCTAGGCAATAAACTGCCACACAGCAGCATTTACCTACTATTTTCTCCTTTAACAATAGTAAAACAGATTTAAATAAACTCTGGGTGGTGTTTTATGGGGGGCAGGGGAGGGGGGGGTGTGTGTTTGATGGTTTGGGGGCTTTTTTGGTAAGTCACAGAATCAACTAGGTTGGAAAAGACCTTTAAGATCATCCAGTTCAACTGTTACCCCAGGACTGCCAAGTCCACTGCTAAACCATGTCACTAAGGGCCTCATCTACATGGGTTTTGGACACTTCCAAGGATGATGATTCCACCACTTCCCTGGGAAGCCTCGTTCCCATACCTGACTACCATTTCAATGAAGAAATTTTTCCTAACATGCAGTCTAAACACACAGAAGTCCTTTGGATAATCTTTCATGGACATCTGATTTTTTCGATAATGCCTTCACATTTTGTTGGGTTTTCCATTAAAACCTTATCAAATGCAAAGTCATCAGAATTGGTAAAAATGCCTGCTTTGATTTTTTCACCTGAACTTGTCCCAAAATTGTATCTAACAGGATCTAAAAGTTATAGTTATAATAGAAGAGTCACAACTAGCAGAGAATATATATCAATCTGCTCAGCTAAACTAACTGAACTTCTACTGGAGTTCAATCAAGTGAAAAAAACCCAGCAATCGAATCCATAATCTATTTTATTACTTCAGAAAACTTGTTAATTGCTATTAAGAAACAGTAAATTCATAACTCTGGGATACCTTCATGGTACTAGACAGAGATACAGAGGCACACAAAACAGTCTGCTTCTTTTTTGTCACATTCTTTATGAAACAGTGGTTCCGATCTAGCCACTGCTCTGAGCTCTGGTAGGAGTTACACCAGACTCAGAGGCTACAAAACAGATGTAACTCTTGTTAAATCTGTTCAATTTCCCTGCCAGTTCTGTTCAGAAAAATAGTTCTAGTTCACAGTCTTGTTCAGAATAAAGAAAATTATTAGTTTATCCACAAACCAGCTTATAGTCACTGAGGTAGGTACAGGTTGTGTTGAATTACATTAGCTCTCAAATAATGACCTAAGATACTTCAGGCTGCAGTGCCCTAACAGCACAGAGCTGGACACTGCCTGCAAGAGGCCAGTGAGGGCTCCAACCACACACAACATTACGATAAAAATCAAACAGCTCCAAGAATGGGATCATACCCTTTGTCTTAACACATGAGCCCAAAATTGAAGTTAAGGAGCTGCTTGAAGAGTTTTTTGCTCGTCCACAATGTGTGGGCAATGGCAGCAGTAATAGAAGCCACATAACAGCCACTTCAACTGCTCCATTTCAGTCCCTGCTTCACATGAATCACAGCCGTAGGTAAGCAGATGGACAGAAAACAGCCCCAGCTTTAGAGCAGCAGCAGCAGAACTGAGCATGCAAGCTACAGCTACAATAAAGACACAAGGACTCTAATGGAGCACTTTGCCTGCCTCATTCTGACCATCTGCATCTCTTCATGCAATTTAATATAAGCAAATTTTGGGAGAGCTGCAGATTTTTTGCAGTATGTAACAACAGAGCATATTTCTATGTTGCCTGCCATCAAATAAAGGGGCTTTTATATTTACAGTTAACAAATATAAATCGAGCATCAATTTGATCTGCAAAGGGCTCAAGTAGGACACATAAAATAGTTATACAAACAAAACAAATTCAAGAAATACCAACACAATCCTGTGATTTATTGCTGTCAAACCAGACAAAAACTTTGAAAATATGCTCAATCCATGCAAATAGTGAAGAACACCATATATTTATCCTCTACATTTTGGTTTTCTTTGGACAGGCATTACGCCACTCAGACTGTACTGATGTACTTCCCAAATCATGAAAGCATTATACTGTGTTCTTACCCTAGAAGTCAACAGAGATGGTAGAATACATATGTTTGCCTAACTCTCTTAATGCTGTCAACTGCCCTAGTAAGTATATACCAATGGCTGAACCTATTCCACACAGCTAAGACCAGGGGGCAGCAATACTGTCAAACACAAACCGAAACAGGTTTATGTCTGACAAACCTGTAAGCAACCACAGCTCAGTTAGGTGAGAAAATAGCAGTTACAGTTATGGGAAAGTTACATAAATTTATCTAGGTTACATAATAAAAATAAAACACATAATTTTAAATGCAGTCATACAGTTACTCTATTACCTGGTCGATTACAATAAACAAAAGCACTAAGCCAGCATTAACTAGTTTTAATCACATTTTCCATACCCAAGACTATCTGGAGAACATCATGATTAGTACTCTTTTCTTGCATACCAAATGCTTTGCTCACGCCAACACAGTCAACAAAACTAAAAAGAATCTATTAAATCCATCTCCTAGATACGCGCTGGCTCCTGAATAATTGACAAATACTTCATGAACTGAGTGTATAATTCAAACCAACTCACTGCAACCCATGAAACAATAGCAAAAAGCTGTTTTCTTTCAGAGTCATTATGCTTGTACCTTCAACCAAGTGTGGGGCAAGAGAAGAGCTATACTCTGCCTTGTTTTCAAGTCATTTGGAAGATATTTCCTCCTAATTGCTGACCTAGTCCATAGGAAATCACACTGAAACCTCAAATAGGAAGCAGTGGACTGATATCCCATAGAAACCAGCTCTGGAAGTTTACCCATTTTCACACTCTTATTTCTTGACAGTGAAGCAGGATGAACATCTAAATGACTTTCATAATATGTAATAAAATAACCAAACCATCAGTGAGGCTTCAAGGTTGAGATGCTGTGACTATAATCACTCCACTGCATTATTTTGTTCCTCTCCTTCCACCACCTATTTTGTTTTCATATTATTTTCCTCACCCCACATTTATCCCTTCATCCTTACCTCGTTTCTTAAACGAGGTCTCCCTTGGCAGGTTTCTGCAGTCAAGAGTTCTGCACTGACTTGATCTAACGAGTGGCTGGGGAAAACCTCTGTTAACGCTCCCAAACGCTTCCCTCTAAAAATCCCAACATTCACTTTTCTTTCCTACTTGCAACAACCACCAACACCAAAAAAAACAAGACATACAACAATAATATTTAAGTTCAGACAACTGCTTTACGCACTAACCTTTAAGACGCCAGGGCAAGAAAGCTTTCCATAACTAGCTCAACACAAGAGCGAAGTCGCACAATTAAAAGACCCAGATTACATGCATACCAATGCCTCTAGCTCCCTTGGATTTGGGCGGGCGGTACTGCCCTGACTCTGATGCTCTTTCTCAAAGACAAAAAAAAAAAAGAAAAAGGAAAAGAAAAGAAAATAAAGGGAGGTAGGTGTATGTGGGTGATTTACCTCTTCCAGCAGCGTGACCGTGTTTCTGCAGTTCTGCAACCGAGTGGTGAAGCTGGAGGTGGTCGGGGAGTTGTAATCCTCTGTAGTCTCGGCGATGAACTCCGACACGGTGATCTGGTCCGGCATGATCCTACCCCACAGGTAAAGCCCAGAAGGAGCCGAACACAGAGATCCGGAGAAGGCGAAGCCAAGTTTGGGGGGGGAAGGTGGAGGGAAAAAAAATAAGGAAGGAGGAAAAAAAAGGAAAAAAAAAAAAAAGAGGGAAGATGTTAGCAGCCAGCAGAGACCCGCAGCATCAAAGCCGCGGAGCCGCAGAGAGAGGCTGAGGCTTCAGCTTCCACATCCAGCCTCTCACCCGGCCGCCCCCTCCTCCTCCCGGACAGGAGGTGAAGGGGGAAAGGCCCCCACACGGCACCGCTGCCCGCGCCGCCCGGTCCCGCCGGCGGGGAGAGCTTCCTCGGCTGCCTGCGGCCCCCGACGGCTGCGGGGACGGGGCCGCCTCTGAGAAGCCCGGCCCCACCGCCGGAGCTGAGAGGAGGGCGGGAGAGAAGGGAGAGAAGGAGGGAGCGGCGCCCGTCAGCTCCCACCCCACCGAGCTCAGCCCCTTTCCCCACCCGCCGCCGACCCCCCTCACGCCCCTCGCCTTAACCGCCGCTCCCGCCCGCCGCCAACTTGAGCACTAACTTGTGCGGGCTCCGGCTGCGCCCCCCGGCCGGGGGGAAGGAGGGGAAGGGCCGGGGCTGGCGGGGGCTTGGCCGGGGCTGGCAGGGCTCCCGCCGCCGCTGACAGTCACCCGGTGACTGACACGCGCTCCCCAACGCCCGCCCGCAGCCGTTACGTGAGGCCAACGAGGAAGTGCTCTGCGCATGCGCCAGCCGCCTCCCTCCCTCTCTCTCTCTCCCGGCGGCGCCGTCCCCTCCCCTGGCCTCGCGCACGCCCCCTCCCACCTCCCTGCGCGCCGCGGGGAGCGGCTCAGGCCGCAGCTCGGCTTCTCTTTAGTGTTTAGTTTTCCTTTTATTTCATTGTTGAAAAGAGGTTTCTGGTGGAAGCGGGCAAGGTCGGGGAGCGATGGCCTCCGGCTCTGTCCCCAGCTGTGAGACTGGGCTCCTCCCGCCGGCAGCCGTGTGGCAGCCGCAAGGACCTGCCTGCTCCGGACGGCCGCTTTCAGCCGCGGGGAGCGGCAGCCGGCTCTGTGTTACTTGGTCTTATTTTGCCCTTGTTTAAGTCCATCCCAGCCAGTGGAAAAGCCTCTGCTTGTGCTACAAGCTTCCTATGGCGTAAAGCATGAAGATTCCGTACAGCCAGTGTTGACAGTCATCGCTTAAGCAACCTGACTATGCAGATTTCACTCAGGTAATTTTTAACAAGTCCTGCCGTGCCTCAGCGACACCACTGGAGCTGCTGTTACTGATATGTGTTACTAATTATGCTCCTGAGCTTGTCCAGAGAGAGAAAGAGGGTAATACACCACTACGGCCATGGCTGGGCTCCATGGCTCACCGCAGCCCCTCACATGCCATGGCCGGGCGCACCACAGCCCCTCACATACCATGGCCGGGCTCACCACAGCCCCTCACACAACAGCCACCACCTGAACCCTTCACCGCATCCCTGGTGTCCTTTATGCACTCACCAGCTGTATTTCCGAATAAGCTAAAACACCACTTATCCGTTATTGCATCTTGTAACTCTGGGAACTGACAGACAGCACTAATGAGGTTTTGGGTTGGGTTTTTTTTAAGCTTAGATTTTGGGGCCCATATGTGCCTTTCTAAAGAAGTGGAGGTCTCAGGAGACTCAAGTAATTATGGTCATCTGCTGTTTCAGTCTGATTTATTTACTCATACAATGTGTTTTTCTGTGTTTGGGGTTCTCTCCACAGAAGCTGGGGAATTCAGGCATGGTAAATATTCTCAAATCTGAACAACTGGAAATGAGCAGTATTATTATGGATATGTTCATTCCAAAGGCTTTAATGTTCTCTATATAAGGACCAACCCCTGTATTACAAGGCCTTTACATGGTTTTCTATGTAATTCAAATAAAAAATGCCTGTACAACTCAAAAACTAGTTGAAAACATCAACAAAAGGCTGTGATGCCTGACTAAGCTTAAAAAGGAGATACCTAATTGGTGTATACCCATAAAAAATTATTTAAATGCAGTTCTGCCAGCAAAAATATGACCAATACTCCTGAGAAATGGTCCTGCCTGAACATGTTTCCTTGATTTCATTGCTTTAGCAGAAGCCCTCCATATGGCCATGTGATTGCTGCTGTTGCTGCTTCACATGATCCAGCTTTCCGGCACAAAGGCTCCAGGCTCGTACAGATGATTGTTAAACGTCATGAGTCTCTGAAAGGTAGAGTAGGCAAGAGGAGGCGGGAGCCAAGAAAAGAACAGTGTGGGAGTTACACTGAGAAATGGATTTGAAAACGAGGCACTGAAGAAGCAACTGGAGGGGTAGGAAGAAATTCAATTGAGGATCATGTTCATAAGAGCAGTGGAGGAGGAAGAGAGATCAAGAGGATAAAAGTTGCTGGTGGCATCAAAAGTAGTATGGAAAGGAGAGTCAAGAACTGCCTGGGGGTTTGGGTCAGGGAAGAGCTGTTAGCATCAGAAAGAGCTGTTTCAGTGTGCCTAGCTTGCATGGAAAGCAGATGGGTGAGGGGCTGGACACAGCCCGAGGGCCACACAGGATCTCTGTGGTCACCCCTGCTAATTTCCTGCAGGACATCGATCATGGGCTGTCAACACAGCCATTCCTGAGCCAGACCTAGGGTTTGAGGGTCAGCTCCAGGGTGTTCACGTTAGGAGGAGTCCTGATCCTGCTCTAGCAGATTTCAAGTGAGGATAAATCCATCACACTGATGGGTAAACTGGTTTAATTAATTGAATACTCTCGCTGTTAAAATAGAATTGTTTCTCTTCAGGCTGAGGTTACTGAGCTTGAGCAGTAGTCTTTGGACTGTAAAATAACCTCATCTGATACTCTAACCAAATCCTACCCCAGAGAGTGTGGACACAAAGCTGGACGTATTGCTACAGACATAATTTCTTTAATACTCTTTAGAAAAAATGAAAACTGCAGAATTGAGGAGCAGCATGTTCAACAAAGAAAGGCAGGAGGCAGGCCAGGGAAACAGGAGCAGTGAAGAGTGACAGAAATGAAGGCACAGCAGATAGCAGCAGTAGCTGAGCTTCTGTGTTTCCTCCTCAGGAAAAAACAAAACAAAACAAAAAAAACCCTTTAAAAATAAAATACATAAAAAAATAGAATGAATATGGAATAAAACTGGGAAATCAAAGAACAACACAAAGCCTAAAGATGAAAAGGAAGATCAATAGCTACTGATCATAATTGCCCAGTAGTATGGTCTTTTGGCAGTTCTGAAATTGTTAACTCTATTAAAGAGAATATAGTTCTCAGTTTTGCTGCTTTGAGGCAGGATTTCCTCTTCCTTTATACAAATGCTAGTAGAGAAAACAGCCCCATGGGCATGACCTCCTTAGGCTTGGATTATCTTCACTTAAACTCACTAGAAGCAAAATTAGTTAATTAATATGCTGCTAATAAAAGATAAAATGTGCTTGCATTTAAACTAGTTAGATTATATAAGTGTTTCAGATAGCTCTTAGTGGATTTCAGATTTAACCATGTTTCCTGTTTTGAATTGCCAGCAGTATCTGAGATTCACTTCTAAATTTGCAAGATGTACCTCTCTATAAATTGTCACTAACTGAAATCACTGTTTCACTTCACGAATGTCAAAGAATAATCAGCAGAGTGTGAAAGTTATATTTCACGGCGTCTGCTCTAACGCTGTCTTAGTCTGTGCTAGATCCTGGGGGAGGCTGTGTCGTAGCCTATTTCTCATGTAAGTCTTGCCAATAGAAGTTATGCTTGTCTCACTCCTCTTGGTATTCTGATGTGAAATGCATTTTCCTGTCCATCCTGGGCCAAGCTAGAGCGGGTGAGCATCATGCGAGCACCTCTGGAAAGCACACTCCTTACTGATGATACATTTCAGTTAAGGAAGTTTTGCTGTCTTGCCATCCCACCCAGTGGTTCAGTCTACAAATCCATTTTATTCCCTGGCCTTTTTTACTGTGATTGCCAACAGAAGAGTTAATTACAGAGAACTGATATTTCTGCAGTATTACTGATAGTCACCATGCTTAGGGAGAGTCTAAGGAGCATAGCAACAACAGCACAAACTACTAACACAGGTGTTTTGCAACAAGCTGAATAGCAACTATGGTATTTTTCATTTTATAGTACTCTAGTCATGTTTAGATTGTGATCATCAGTCATTCACAAGAGCTGAGCAGTAGTCATCAGGTGATGACTATTGTTGTCGTTGCAAACTTTCAAACATTACAGATCCCTGCCAGAGGTGAAGAGCTACACAGCACTTGCATAGCTCTTTATGTCGTCAGTGCAATTAACTTTAACCCATGCAACGGTGAGGTAGAGAACGGCAAGGTTATATTTCCACTCTAAAGGAGACAGATACAGGAGGCTGTGGCCCTGTGACCAAAAGCAGGGCTGTATGGTCGGCTGTCTAGCTTTAGTAGTGCAAAGTCAGCTCTTCAGGGTATCAACACCTCAGCTGTGCTAGAGCTGGCGCCAGGATCTCCCATAGGATACGATTACACTGCCTGCAGAGAGCAGCCCGGGGACCACCCCCAGGGCCATGCTTGCCTGCTGCATAGATAGCAAGCTCACAGATACAAACTCAGGTGTGGCTGCTGCTTGGTTTTTGGAAACAAGATTGACCCAGGTCCCTGGCTGTGCACCAAATATGCTGTCAAGCATGCTCAGACAAGCTGCCTTCAGGGCCATTTGCAACCTGTCAGTGTGGCTGGGAAGTGAGTTGTTAGCTGAAGAAGGAAATCACTGTGCGGATGGCTACTGTGCAGATGACTCCTCTTGATTAGTACAGACACAGTCATACCAGGATCTCACATGTCAAATTTGGTGGTTTTTTTTTTTCTTTCCCAAGAATGATCAATATGTTGCCACTTTGCAAACGCGGGTTTACACCAATGCTCGTTGCTTTACTTTCAAGGTTCCCATTGTGGCTATTACTGCTGATAAAAGTGTCTGCTGATCAGACATTAGAGTTT